CATTGAATTACTCCCTCGTACGGCCTCTATAATCCAAACGGATGGCACACTCAACCACTTGCGGTATACAAGTGAAACAGAGGCAACATATAAGAGGCCCGCGAACTCGTCATTTAGGACGATGACTCGTCTAAACGCTTTAAGGCAAACACATGTAAAAGTTATGGCATAAGTGAAAGAATTTCTCGAGAAATAGAGGAAGAAAACTGACCGCATCCAAACAAAACTACGGTAACATTCAATTGTAGCTGAGAAAAGCTACAAAATCTCAATATCGAAGTTAGTACGGGAGGACCAGCCGTGACTTTTTTAACCACGGTTCAGAAAACGATGGTTAAATGCGAATTGCAACATCCTCAAGGAAACTAAATGTTTGGACAATGCTTCAAATAAAACCCTTGATACAGGAGTTGATCAAACTCGTGCAACATCATTATCATTTTGGAAATACATTTCAGTTTCCAATATCATACTTGTATATTGATGGCTGTGGTTGAAGTGTATTTGTTGCTGGTTTTATTTCCCACATCTATCTTCTTAGTTTTCTCCTATCACCGTTTCTATTTGAGCGACCTTGAGTGTTACGATCAAATTTGCAGTTGCTTGAAAGTTTTAATAAATGAATCCTGTTCCATTAGCGTTTAGGTTGAGCACACGCAGTCTAAATTGTTCATATTTTTTCATCCAGTGCACAGTAAATAAGCAAATTAATGAAAATATTATAGCTTAATAAATTGATGAATCATATGGCTACTGAAAGAACTGAAATCATAGTTCAAGAAAAATACAAGTTGATCTTCGAAAGTTGAGGTGTACACCTCGTTAAATAGGTGCCTCGTAGTGTCACCATGCCCAAACCGGATGAAACATTCAAGAGGTTTTGGTACATACTTGAAGCCTAGAGGCAAGTTAATCGAGAATGTGAATAAATCCGATGACTCAGTTGATGTCTTTTGGAAGCGCTCCGATGTGAATATATATATATATATATATCCGCATACTGAACGAAATTTTCCTACCAAGACATAAACCGAGAGGGAGAAAACAAATCATACCAAAGTAAGTCGATGGTTGTATTTGACTACAGCAGAGAAGAGTTGTACGAAACCATCTTAGAGGATAGTCAGTGCTGATAAGTCATTCTCCCTAACGCTTCCGTTTGGAAAATGATGGCTCAATTTTAAGTGCAGCTGAAACCACGTGATATAAAGCCGTTAAGGAACGCGCAACACAGCAGAGCACGTATTGATTTTACCAACAGATTCAAATCGCGTCGCCCGTCCATTTGCAATGGGTTTATCTCACTGGTGGACAACGAGTAATTCAGCGTGCGGTGAACGGTGATCTACTGATCTAGTTTTCTAATTTCGTTTTACCTGTCAAAAGAAGTAAATATTCACCCCGCTTGACGAGTTGAAAGGGAAGTAAAACTGAGTGTTTGTTATCGGTCTCCTGCACACATCAAGCTGGATAGCGCAAAATGTTGTGCACTGATAAGGGAGGTTTTCGATAACTGCTACTCTTCACATACATATGTTTCATACATACATATTTCATTCTCACATATTTTTCAAGGATGAAGGTTGGTGCATCTTCTCGTTTTAGGTTGGTAGTAGAAAACTATCAGACCTAATAAACTGTTATTTTTTCACGTTTATGCAGTCCCTGGGGTTATGTTCAGTATCAAATTTACTCAATCATGGCGCAGCAACTGGAATTTTAATTCAATCGAAAACTTGCCCATGTATCAAAAACAGCGATAAGTTAGGTGCCTCGACTCTAGCCGTCAATGGTTAGGGTCCCGGTTGTATTAGAGGAAACTGGCAAATTCTGTTTGGCGGGCAATTTGGAGGACTCCATGCCAAAGCGACTACCTCAAGTGCTCAAAAATTGAGAGCAAATGGAACACGGACGACATGAAGGTACAATACTTGTATGAAGTCTATGAGTCATTTAAATAAATAAATTCTAGTTACGTTTTCTATCGTGACTGTGTTATTTTACAATTGATGCACCAGTAACCGTAGTCAAAATCGCCAAACCGTTCACTTCAATGGCACGTAGCTGATAAAAAACAAACACATAAGTGGGTTTTACATCAGATATGTTGCGTCTGACGTGGAGCAATTTGATATTCAATCCAGTAAATGAGCCTGGAAAAACCACGCCATGGCAGGAACAAATGTGAGGAAAATCAGGATCTTGCACGAGTTTGTATGATGGAACGTGGTACAAAGAGAGCCCCGGTTAGTGAATGAATCAAGAATGGGGCCCACCCAACCAGATGCGCATTTCCTTTGATGCTGTTGCATGATGCGATCATTTCAAAGTTGCGAATCCACTTCTCCGTCTGCGAACGCGTTCGGCCAAGGCACCTTCATTGCGTTGTGCTGATCCCAGCGACGGCACCAACGTAGCACGAAGGTGAGTCGGCTGGCAAACGTTTATTGATCCAATTCAAAAACAACTGGTGTCTGCGTTCAGTTAAATGAATTCTTAACCGCGTGGCAGGGTGACTCATGTCTAACTCTGTTGGTTTTGGTCCACACTTGGCACGTACGTTCGGAGACATCGGTGATCGAATGCAGAAAGCCGATTAGCATCCTCACCGTTGAGGGGATAAGTCTCGCAACCGTAAAGTAGAACGCTACGAATCGCAGCGATGTACACCCTGTCCTAAAGAGGGTTGGATTTCATGGCGACGCCACCGGTGTCGCAGGTTGGTGGGAGCTGCATTAGCATTCGCTATTTGTGATGAGATCTTCCCAACACGAACACGTGTGATCAAGGCACTTATATCTCTCAACCACTTCCAGCTGATCACCACAGAGGTTTATGGTCAATAGTTGTATAATCCTAGTTAGCTGGAGGAGTAATGTGTATATATGGTTCGCATACAATGGCCTTTGTTAGAGGTAACGTTTCTGTGGTTTTCATCAATGGGGATCGGTTGTCCGCTATTCGTTCCATGTAATGAATTCGAACCTTATCTATCTGCGGCTGGTCCTTTTTAGAACGCATGTCGTAATGAGTGAAACCCGAATACAGGGTTCTAGGCTGAGTGCAAGCAAGATAACCCTGAAAAAAAGTACACAGGTATCATTTATCGTCAAATCCTGCTCTATCTACACAAAACACACGGAACTAGTCACATAAATCAAGACAATCAGTAATAACGCATAGGTAACAATCGCATTCAACATGAAACTGACAGTAATCGGGTACAAAGATAAAAATTGACCGTCTAAGGTGACTCGGGATTATTAATCAACTGAACCTCACTTTGTCTGGGAATGACAATGTACTACGATTAATGCTTATAACAGAGCACGTCAAAGCTGCTTATACGTTACAGCTATCTTCAGAAGTTGACAACATTGACGACCTGAGATGAATGCTAAAAATTAATTCCAAGCGACGTCTAATGATCGAAGATCAGCAGAATGGCAAAATTGTTGAAAAACCAACCACGATGGACTTGTTCTAGCAGAAAGATTTCACGATGTCATGGAAAACAGAACGCACTCCTCGTTCAAATACTGTGAGGCCCATATCTGAACCATATTAGAGAAATCGGGTTCCGGAAGAGCGATGAACAAATTGTTTAGCATTAGCTGACTCGTTTCCGGCACACCCTCCGTGTCCAATCGACGTAACAGTTTGACAGGATCACACTCTGTTGCCTTGAACCAAGACAGCACAAGGTCTTGCGCAGATTGTCGAACATCCGCTGATAAATGGATGAAAATAAAACCGAGATGATCCTGAAACAAGCGAATCACGCCACTAATGAACGAAATTTATTGTGGAATTGCATAAACTTGACAAAGTATTTAGTTCCTTTCGAACAATCGGCAGCTATGCGTATTAGGAGAGCGGTGTTGAATGTGAATTGGACCAAAAACCGGCAGATTAGGCACAATGAAAACCTGTTAGGCGGTGTTCACCCGATGGAGAAGGTCACCAAATTATCACACCGGAGAACGTGTGCTCGAATCCAACCGTCACGCCGCCTGGTTGTTCTTATTATGTTGCATGGTAACCCTTTAATTGGCCACGCCACTTCCTGAAAATTGTATCATTGTATAAGCAATAAAAGCAAAAATGAAAAAAGAGTGATATAATCTGAAATGTGCTTCATAATGCGAGAGAAGGAAGCAACTTCTCTGGTTGTTGTGTCCTGCATCCGGGCGGACAGCTCCTCGATTGGAAGAATTTCACTGTCACAACTCGTCCAAAATGAAATAACCCCACACTTCAGTTGGATGTAGGGCACGGAAGAATTCCAATGATGAATCACATTCCTGGAATAAGGGTTGGTGAATCTCAAATAACCGCTCAACTTGAGTACCCCGATTGTTTGTATATTAGCTATGATATAAAATCAATAACGTGAGATGAGAAATTCTGAAGTAGATTGAGGACTAGAAACAGATTAAAATTTGCAGAGGTTACCAAAAGCTTTTAGTATTACTGTTCGGTTCAGTTTTTAAAACCAATTACCATGCACCTATGTGCGGCGGTTTTGGTGGCTGTTGACTTAAAGTAACAGATCTGAGAAAAACTCACGTCTAAATGGACAGTTCATGGTTATGGAGTGAACAAATAAACTGAAAACTCAGTTCCAATCAATATCCATAATGAACCAGGTCAAACAAAGTTACAGAGCTGAGAAAGACCTACATCTGGATCAAAAACGGATCCCGAAATATAGAAGAGGATATCCTGAAACCGAAATACAGCAACAGTCTCAGGATACCCATCTCGAAACGCCCAATCATTCCATCTCATTAGATACTACTAAAGAACGCTGTCGTTATTTTAGTTTAAAAGGTACCACTCATAAATTGCAGCAATTCCCTTAATGTAATTTGTACAACTTATGACAGTCATATCACCACCCAATCCTTGACCACTAAATTTTGTCGGCAATCGCTTATCCAGTGATCCTGGGTCCATGTTATTCACGAAAAGTCGTTATGTCGTTGGTCGACCGCCTCGACCATGGGCATACAATATGCCCACAAAAGCCATTGTTCAACTGACAGTACATAAATTGACAACAATTGGACGTGTCTCGTTTTGTTGTATTCCTATTGATACATAAAGGACTAAATGACATTACTTCAGGCAAGTACCTGGAGAAAACACGAATGGTTCTTGAGATTCAATATGCACTCCCAAATTATGCACTGCCGAGAACCATTATTTACTGCGAATACTCGGTGGCCGAATCATTCAGACTGATCCCATTCGGTATCCGGATTAAGCAACAGATTACTTTATATCCAGACTAAGTGGGTTTCGATGAAAGGAATTTTTGTATGAAATACGTTCCGAGAGTGAGGAATGTTATCAACACAAGATTGATTGATTTAATTCTTAAGCAGACGGCAATTTTAATAACTATTATTTATCATCCAGCAGACTTCATTTTTAAGCACAACCCTCAGTTTTTCCTGTCAAATATAGACTTGGAAGCAATAGACTGGAGTTGCATTCTTATTAGTGCTCAGCGATAGCACATATATATCGTCCAGTCCGGGTATTGTGAAAATGAGGCAATCATGTTATTACAACTCCGTGAACTGTGAGTCACGGAATAGTGGTCACTGCGTGTCTGAAGTCAACGTCATTTCACAAATCACATGAAGCGAACCAAATGCCATCAGAAATATAATGCAGCGATCGGTCAATTGAAAAGATGATTATATATATTGTCGACAAATACGGTCCGTTTTGGACTCGTTCTGTCCGTCAAGCGGTTTGTATAGGCATTATCTGATTATCTAGCGTTCGTCATCAGGAGTATTGTACCATCAAAAGCTTCGAAAACCGAATCCTCTTTTCTTTAACTGTTTTTGTTGAATCGGTTTTCCTGATGTTCCTGCACACAACGCTATTACAGCTACATTGGTGTTTAGACGTCGCGACCACACACTACAATCGTGAAATTCGTTCCGATAAGCATCCACTTTTCACATGAAATGTCATTGTTATGTACGAAAAACTTCGTATATGTGCGTATGGTGCTCGGTAAGAATTCACAGAAAGTTTATCACACCTACCTGCACGGTCTGTTAGTCCGTCTTGTAAAATTCGAATACGTTTTGCAATGGATAGCGGGCGAAGAACAGTGCGGGTGGCCAAAATCTTGTAAGCGGTACGACGCACACTATCTGCCACATCGCGACAACGCTCCACCAAGCTGGGCAACGTGCGTGTGGTCAACACCATGGCAGCCAGAGCAGCTCGACGCACTTCCGAAGTGGGATCATGACGTGCCAGCCAGATAAAAGCTTCCACAGCCGGGCAGTCCGCATCAGTCGGATCTTGCATACGCGATAACGCGTGTACAGCTTGGACGCGAACAATGGACTAAAAGGCGTGTGGGTAGAACAAGCAACGTCAGAACATTCGGAACAACGCGATAAACACCTGCACGTATGTCCCACATGAAATACTGCACCTCTCCCCTATCCGTCATCATACAAACTGGCACCCATCAACGGTTCATTTACCAGAAGTTGAAGGCCTATAATAGCACCTATAAACTACAACAATGAAAAACAATTAAAAATTGTAATTTTGGAAACAATTACGCAAGGTGGTCAGGCAACCATAAATAACGAGGCTGAAAGAAACTACGAAATGCGGACTCTTACCGGAACGAACTACACGGTAATATTCAATTTCAGTATTAGTTTGTACACTCATTCGCTGCACTCTCGAGTGCCCGTTTTGGTTGACGTCTTTTGGTCGCCCATTTGGATGAACCGTAGGGGAAAGACGAGAAAGTTCAAAAAACAGTCGAACACAGGTTATACAACTGCAATGGACTAAGGTTGAAGAGAAACTAAGAATATAAACGCCATTGTTTACGAAACAGCTACATTACCCAGAGTCTCCATCGGTTACGAGCAATCCCGAGGTCACAAGACAGGGAGCCCAACGCAATATACCTGACCCAGTATTCTGGTTACGGTTTTCCGTTTTCATTACACACTTTTTAGTGTATTGAACAGCAAGCGGGGTGGACCCCATTGTCACGAGGACCTGCTGTTCATTGATAGAAACCGGTAACCTAAGCTCCAGGACTTGGAGCGGCGAACCACATAAGGCCCCACAAGGTTAGGCGTGGTATTACGGAATACCACATGGATGTTACCATTGTAAAACCACGATGAACACTCGCTTCTTATAACCATAAAAACTACCGCGAAACAAATAAGCCCCAGCTAGGTTTGGCGTGGTATTTGATACCCTCGTGCCAGCTCTTGGCTCGATCACCCCAAGCGTTTTCCACCCAATACCTATCTCGGCGAACATCGCACGCCGTAGCAACCTATCTGGTGGCATGCATAACACATGCACCAACCAACGTAATCTATGCAGGTCGATCACTTGCCCCAGTGGACGACCGCGAATGTCTAAAACTCTACGCCTAACCTCAGCATTGCTCATCCGGTTACCTCACCAAACTCGCGCAGTGCCACGTACACAGCGGTGTTCAAACACTGATAATCTATTTCTATCCTGTTCCCGTAAAGGCCAAGTCTCTGCACCGTACAGCAGAACTGGCCGAACTGCTGCACCATATACTCGACCCTTCATAGACAGCCGGATATCGCGACGGTGCCATAGAAGTCTCAAGTTGGCAAATGCCAACCTAGCCTTTTGTATGCCCGCCAACACTTCATCCGTGATGCGTCCACCGGGTGAGATGTAGCTGCCCAAATAACTTAACTTATCCACCAACTTTATTACCTCCTCAGTTACAGTGAGGCTAGGTGCCGGTCCAACCCAATCTTGTAGCACCATTTTACACTTTGAAGGTGCAAAACGCACACATCACTGCACTAGCACTCAAACGATCCAGAAAAGCTTGCAGCTTACCTGGATCTTCACCTAGTAGCACAGTGTCGTCTGTATACTTCAGATGAGACAGTCCGCCACATGGGAGCAAATCGATACCACAATCCTCTCACGAGGATAAGGCTGTTTCAAGAATAAGATCTATGACAAATTGAAATAGAAACGCCGAGGTCAATCAAGACGAACATCACTTCCTGTAGTGAACTCGGATGAAAAAGTGACGTAAACTCCGATTCAGTTTTAGGCTATTAGGATAAAGCGATTGTAATCTTGAAATAAACTTCTCGGACACACCTTTTAAGGAAAGCCAGTGCCAGAGTATGGAGCGGTCGATTGAGTCGAAGGCCGCTTTCAGATCGAGAAAGACAGAGATCGTTGGTATACGGAAAGAATGTCGATGCTCGAGAACTTGTCAAAGAGTGAAGACGAGGTCGATACAAACTCGACAAGGCCTAAAACCAGCCTGGTGCGACAGACAATCGACAGGTCAAACGCTCATGCCTCATTTCAATGAGGTATGAAATTGTTTTTAGATTGTTTTCCTTGATGCTTTACGCTATCGTCAAAGTATGTTCTAGATAACGGTGCTTGTTTCCGCAAGTCCCATTTTCGGGATTTCAAATCTGTTATGAATAAATTCGGTAATACTTACTTATATGGCAATACCGTCAACTTATCTGTTTACCTTTCTTCGGAATGCAAACGAGACATACGGTGGTCATGGTTCTTGCTCTACTGTTATTCCTGTTTCTTTTTACTGACAAGCCTTCACAGAGGTCATACAAAATAGTCCTTATTATTAGCGCAACTGAGTACACATTAGATATTGTATGGTTTGTGTCCGGCGCTTGTTTTAAAAGAGTAACGAGTTACGACAGCTTTTCTGTATTGTGTTCGATCAGTATAGTTGTGTACCACAAGGATACGCCCGTACCTCTTGGACTGGATTAGCTGTCTTTATTTTGCTGCCAACGAAACCTTACTATTATTTTACCACATCTATCCAGAGCGGAGTTCCTCACACTCTTGGTACTGAACAAACTGGAGTTGGTTGAAGTGGATGAAAATTGGAACCACACGTTAAGTACCATTTTACACATAGGTTGTTTTTTGTATCTGTTTCGCAATACTTCTGGGGTTGTCTTCAGTGTCATTTTGATTAACGTATTGTTCTATCCGCGCCTAATCGAATGGCGAACTCGTTTACTCTTGTTAACCCTGTGCAGCACAAACAGGTCAACGAAGTGGTTGAAATGATCAGCGAACTGTGTGATCCCACTGAACCACCTCTAACCAATGATCCGTCGATTGTTTCCAGGGGCCAGTCGGATTTATCCCAACCGAAAGCAATATCTTCTGCTGCCCCTGTGGTCACTGAAGCCACTGCCAAACCGCCCGTCCTTTCTAGAATAGAGGAGCGTGATATCCGCCTGAAGGTGAGTCCATACTGAAAGTTCATTGGTAATAGATCTATTGTTGAACTTTACTTGATATATAGTTTCCGGGTATTTGGTTTCAATCTACACAACCATCAACCTAGCGCTTCCGTTTGGTGGTTTAGGACGTTTTCTCCCAAATGCACTGACAGTAAAGAGGAGAAAGCAGAATGCCTGGAGTAGTAGCAGAGTGATGATGTTGATTTCTGGATGGAAACAAATGTACCAGACAAACTAGCTCCACTGCTGATGACAGTGGCTCGGGGGTGTTTTGCGTTGCGACTAGTCACCTTTCCTTTGCACTTCGGGAATTACTCCTGTACGGCCAGTTTTCTCGAAAAGCCTCTTCCAAGGAAAACCCCGACCTTTGAGTGACGGTGGTTCCCCATTTGGGTGCGAGGACGAAAACCCAAGATCCGAGTAGACGAACCACTGTTCACTGTTCACCTAGGTGAGTTAGCCAAAAGCCCTCAGTTCAAAACAACCAACGTGTACACACTTTCTAGAATGAAGATAGGCTGTCGATGTTCGATTACTGTTGTCTACGAAGTCTCTCCAGAATCTGGTGAAGCAAGCAGGCAAGTAACGCAGAGGGTACGTGCAGCGTTTTAGCTAATCTCAGTCATCCACTGAAGCACGTGGTCAACCTCCGTCCATTATGTTGGCTTGGTGCAGTTGTTATTTACGTCACCAGATAGATTGGCATGACGCGCGATGTTTACCGAGGCAGGCAGTGTGTGTGTGTTTGTTGGGGGGGGGGAACCATGCGTGGCCGAAAGAATAACTGGCACGAGAGTATGAAAACTATGACCAGGAGACTGGCTCACATAGGTATCGTTATTCTCCCTGGCTAGGGACCCCGAGATCATGGTCACCTATGATTAGAGACACTAAGCGATATGGCTGGGTGTCGCAAACAGTGTCGCTCGTGCATCCACTTCTCATTCTCCTAACACCACTCCAGATGAATTCTCTATCTTCCGCTTGAATTTGCTCCCAACATTCCAATGTTTATCATGCTCTTTTATCCAAATGGACAGCAACCAAAATTGGCGCTTCAAAGTGCATGGTTGAGATTGTAAAACTAGAACTGAACTGATGCACATTGTGTGTCGTTGCTGACTTGTGTTCAGTTGAAGTCACGGCACAATACCATGAATGGTCGTCGTAAAGTGAAATACAGTAAGGCGAACTTCACTGATTGCTGCCAAACTCATAATGCGTATGCGTTGCGGTTTGATGGACGAGTACTGCTAGTGTTCAGCCACTAAGCAGAAGAACGATTAGGTTTTTCGTCCAAAGCCTTTAGTTCTGATAAGAACCTAGCCGTAAGGCAGCGGGTGAAGCGAAGTGGAGGCCAATCTACTTAGATCGATTACTCCACCATTTTTTACCGACTGAAACGCAAATTCCAATCGAACCCCCAGCCTGGAGGGCCAGGAGACTGGACTTCGTCTGAGCTCTACGCTTCGACCTTCCAAGCATGATTAGATCTTCGGCTTGACAAAAGCCATCCTGTGTAGCTCGTTGGGTCAGAGGTGCACAAGCTATCACACCACGTCAAGGTGCAGTCTCGTCGTGACGGATATTTCATCTACGACGAAGTTGAACAGGAACGGCGAAAGAGGCCACCCCTAATGAACGCTACTGCTGGTGACGGACGGCCTACTTAGCTTGTTGTAAGCCCTCACTCGAACACAGGTATGTGAGTACAGTGACCTAAGTAAGGTAACGTGCTTCTGGAGCATTCCTTTTCGACGAAGGGAACTCATTAGAACGTCGCGGTCAACTGAGTCGAACGCTCCTTAGTTAGTCGTTAGTCGACGTTGGGTGACGCAGCACGAGGACCTGACGTAACGCAAAAATCTGATCAATGCATCCACGGCCGGACCGGAATCTGGCTTGCAGTTCACGGATATTGGTCTCCCTTAAAGGAATCAGACCGAGGCAAGCATTTCGGTGACGATCGGGATCAAACTTATCCCACGTTGGTTTCCGCAATCGTTGAGATCCTATCGTGAAAATGGGACCGATCAGTGATTCGCCTCAAGATGAAGGAATGCGTCAAATATTGCGCAGTACGGTAGTAATGGAGCTCATGAGATAATCACCTTCCACCTTGAAGAGAGTGCGAGGAAGCTCATCCGTTCCTGCTGCCTTTCCTCGCTTCAGAGCTTGAATGCAAGACCGAACGTCTGCTTCTGTTGGAGAATCGCCAGACACTTTCCACCAAGTTTCAGTTGCGGAGGCAACCTGGTTGGATGCAGGCCAGCTAAACTTTCCCTGGAATATAATGCGAACTCACCAAAAAAATTCATCTGGCAGTGTTGAGCCCACAAGATAATCATGGAACATTAAACAAAAATGTTTGTACCGTGATTTGTTTGGCACAGTCTGAAAATAGACACCTGTGAAATACAAATACACACTTCATCTCCAGTTATGGAGAGGTGGAGGTCAGGAAAGCCGGGCATGTACCATTCTATACTTCGAAGACGCTAAATGTATGCGAACCGTAGCTAAACTAACACACACCATTCGTATTTTTGTTTCGGCTACCAGCTTAGGTGTATCATAATGGTGAGATGAGCCTCTGTGGCGGATTTAAAAAAAAGAGAAGTCACAGTTAAGAAAAAGCGATTGAGTTGGAAGTCGATTTTCGATCGAGAAAGCAATGTTCGTGTTCCAGAATTAAACAAAATTGAGTGTGTGGTCGAGACAATTTCGAAATGACCCGAAACATGTTGATGATGATCCTCAATTGTGCATAGCTCACGTGCCGAAGACAATCGACAGCGCATACTGTTACCGAGAAGCAAGACCCGGAAATAAAAAATAAAAATGTGTGCTGTTTGTAAAATGCTGCGTAACCACTTTTGCCTGCCTGTGATGTAGAGAAAACAAGAGCTCGGTCGAAGCATCGTAAACTAGACAATGTCGTGATACGCCACGTTCGTTTATTAGGAAATGAATAATGTCTAAAGGGCGAATGGTCGAAAGTGTAGAACGAGAAAGCATCTGGTGGGTTTTAATGTGTTTCGAGGTAGACGCCAATTGACCCAAGTTCTCCATTCATTCCGGAATAATGTTGTGCTTCGGTTTTGAGGAAAGTTACACTAATGTGAGTCTTGGAATAGGCGCATCTCGTAACCACAAGGATAACAGCTTCTCAAGAAAACCAATAACCATCACTCGTAATGATTAAGAATCGGAAACCTTAGTAAGAAGGAAGTTGTATTGAATCAAACAACTTTTCATCATTAACTCAGACTGGTTTCAATGAGACAGCGGAGAAAGCCGTACGAAGCCCTGAAAGTGTGAATATACAAAAGGTTATACTTCTTAGAACATAATATCGAAGGTAGTTTAAGGTGGCGAGATGTCTCGCTTACTTTGGTGTCGTGTACGCGACGAAGCAGAACATTTTGCAAACTGCTGTACAACTCATCCGGCATCACCCCGTTATCGCCGATACCATCCAAGAGCATGTGTATGATTTGCATGCATCGGAAACGAACAGCCGCGTTAGGGCATTCATTGTACTGCGAAGGGAACGGTTTGCGGAATGAAAAAATTAAAGAAGAAAATGCAATCCGTTTATCTATTTGTTGCTCTTTGGTAGACAATTATTAAACGGAGTACGTGAACAAAATTTTACTCAAGCGAATCAGTTTACTAGCAATGAATAATTACAAACCTCAATCAAAGAAGCAAAGAACCTGAAGAAAAAAATATTGCAATGGTTTATTCTATTGACCGGTCACCTTTTGGACTTCACCTTCATGCACAATCTTCATTTCAGGAGGCACTTGAATCGGATTTATGCCACCCAGTCCGCTTCACTACTGACGAGTATATTTAGGCAAACTGCAAAATGCCTTTACTAGTCAAATGTGAACAGAAATGAAAATGCGTAAAATTAACAATCACGAAATATAAGTTAATTTGTACAAGCCACATCCATGCACCCATGAGTGATGATTTAGGTCTCGGAAAGAAAAACATAATTCAATTCAGTTTCAGTTTTTACAACCATTAACCATGCACTTTGGTGCGCCCGGTTTGGTTGATGTCTTTTGGCCGCCCATTTGGACAGAAGAGCAGGATGGACATTGGAATGTTGAAAGTAAATTCAAACGGAAGATATGGAAATCATATAAACAGGTGTTAAGAGAATAGTGAGTAGATACATAAGCGCCACTGTTTGCGACACCCAACCATATCGCTCAGTATCTCTAACTATTGGGGACTATGAATTCGGGGTCCCTGGTCAAGGAGCCTTACAGGACCTTTGTGACTCCGTCTCCCAATTAGGGTTTTCATGCCCACACGCCAGATCTTAGTTTGACCACCCTTGAATTTTTTTAACCGCTTNAGAATAGGAGATTACCAGTATGTGGGGATTGTAATATTGAACTAAACCTCTGAGGCACACCCTTCAGAACGAGGCAGCTCCAGAGTTTAGAGCGGTCGACTGAGTCTAAAGCCACTTTCAGATCGAGGAAATAGTGGATCTATGAAAAGAGCGTCTGTAATCTGAAGAATGAAACTGTGGTCGATAAAACCTCGACCGGGTCTAAAACCAGCCGTGTACCGTTCATATGCGACACCCGAATGACGGAGTATGTTACTAGCACGAAGTTTAGATACGATGTTGATTAAACCGATTCCTCTGTGGTTTTCACAAGAGGACTTGTCGCCTTTCTTGTAAATTGGTATGATCACCGATTCACATTATGCAGTTGCAACCTGTTCCCTCCCGCACACTGAGCACAGGAGTTTGGTTAACTCCGAAACCAAGGACCTCTATCCTTAAAAGCCGATGGGGACAGCCCGTCCGAGAGAATTCACTTCTCGGGTAAACTCCATTTCGACTGATGTAAAATAGCAGTATTTGCTAAGTTAAAGCATTTATAGGAAAGCCTTATGTCGAAAGGGGCCAGCAATACTATGCCCTGAAATGTGTTTGCCCAACGTTCAAGACGTAGGCGTAGCTGATGATGAATCCGTGTGTCGTCAGACCCCTCAATTAACTCGCTTACGCTTACTTTCCTTCAACTCGTACTCCTAATGCAACGGAAAATATTGTGACTGTTATCAATGGCTGCAGCTTTCTCTACTTTGCCTATCTACTACTTCTTCCGGTCATTCTTCAGACTCTTAGTGAGCTGGCGTTTGAGGGATTTGCTCGCTGAGTCGCATCAGGAGGGTTGTGCGGGCGTCCAGTAGGGCAGTCGAGATCGAGCCCCGTTGTGTGAGGTTTTGCCAGGGTCAGACGTTCATCATCATTGTACAGCGTCNTGGTTCATGGTTGTGTGCGTTGCGGGCTATTGTACTACTCGGTCGCCCGGTCCAGAGTAGGCCTTGTTCGAGGATGCACTCTAGCCTTTGCGCAACCAAGCGCGGACTGCAAGGCAGCAGTGATGTTCCAGATGAGCCGGTGGCCAGTCGTCGAGATCGAGCCCCGTTGTGTGAGGTTTTGCCAGGGTCAGACGTTCATCATCATTGTACAGCGTCATACAGTAGAGCGAACTTCTCTGATCGCTGCCTAACTCATATTGCATACAAGGTAAGTCAGAATGTGTAGAGAGGATAGGGACGGGAAAAGAACCTCTATGGTCAACACAGAGTACGTAGTCCAACTGTGCATACATACTATTCCAAGCAATCTGGTTTGATAAGAAGTGACAGCATGAATACCATTGCTGTCGGTCTGCAGCCATGACCTTCAGTGTCTCCAACCATGTGGTTTCGGAGTCTTCTGAACCCCATCCCGGAAGACGAGAGACACCTACTCTTCCTAATTGCTCCGTGCATTTCTTCATGTCTCGTCTCCACGTAATCTGCTGGCCTCCATGCTGCTTTTTTCAGCCTGCAACAGCCACTGCGAATAAGGCAGCTGCGGTAGGCGACCGTCGGACATACGCAAGACGTGTCCTAACAGACGGAACTAATTGAGCTGAATTGGATGCGATAGCGAGTTTTTCATCGGTATATTCCCAAACACCCGATGATTTATTTCTTGGCTACTAACTCGCTGACTCCATCCCACTTGGGCCAGACTACGTAAGCATCGACTGTCGAAAACTACTAGGCGACGGATGTCTTCTACGCGCAAATTTAAGGTCTCACAACCGTAGAGCAGAACTGATCGTACAGTGGCGCAATATACGCGACTCTTCAACCTCAATGAAACAGCACGTCGTCGCCAAAGGTGTTTCAGTCCTGCGTACACTGCTCGAGCATTGTAAATGCGGGCGGTTATCTCCTTTAAAGCGCTACCGTCGTTTTTCACGCAGCTACCCAATTACGAGAAGCAGTCAACTTACTTGAAACTCAGTATGCAGAGTTCGATTGCGTACTCTGTGTNTGTGTTGACCATAGAGGTTCACCTTCTCCTGATTATCCAGCCCGAGGACCTACGCATTATAGAATTATTGGTAGTTTGTGTTTGCCTTGGGGCTTGATGGACGGTTACTGCTAGGGTGTCCAGCCACGAAGCAGGGGAACGATTAGGGGTCTCAACGAAAGCCTTTAGTCCTGACAAGAACCTAACCGTAAGGTAGCGGTTGAAACCTAGTGGAAGCCGGTTATTTTCAAATCAATTTCTCCTCCACTATTTTTTACGGACTAACGCAAATTCCAGCGGAATCCCCAGGAGACTGGACTGCGTGTACCCGTTGACTTTCCACGTATGATGTGATCCCCTGACTCGACAGAGCCATCCTGTGTTGCTCGTTGGTCCAGAGAGGTGCACAAACCATCACATCACGTCAAGGTGCAGTATTGTCGTGATGAGAGTACCATCAAGGCGGATATCAACTACTGCTCCTGATCCGTATATCGAATTCTAACCAAACGTTGTCAGTTGACATCAGTCCTCCATCTGAAATGGAGGTTACCCGGGAAATAAGGCTCCTGGCCCGACGGGCTGTCTCCATCGGCTTTGAAGGACGGACGTCCAGCATTGGTTTTGGAGTAACCAGAACTCCTGAGTTCAGTGTAGGAGACGGAAAAGGTTGCAACTGAATGGTGTTAATCGATCAACACACCGAAAGACAGATGACATCCTCCCGTAAAAACCATCCAGGAATTAGTTTAATCAACATTGAATCTGAACTTGTCGCTGGTATCATTCTCTGTCAATTGTCTGCCGCACGTGAACGGTTTACGCGTGAGAACCAGGCTGGTTTCAGACCTGGTCGAGGCTGTATTGACCACATCTTCACACTTCGTCAAATTCTAGAATGTAGACACTCCTTTCGTACACTCACTATCTCTGTCTTCCTTGATCTGAAAGCGGCTTTCGACTCAGTCGACCGCTCCATACTCTGACGCTGGCATTCCCTGAAGGGAGTGTCCGAGAAGTTAATTTCAATATTACAATCGCTCTATAATAATAGCCAATACCGAGTCGGAGGTTACGGCACTTTTTTTACCCGAGTTCACTACAGGAAGTGGTGTTCGACACTGTTGCTATCTTTCTCCGAACCATATGTGGCCCAGATTGATTAGGCTGGGTACTGTACCAGATGACAGGAAAGTTGCCTGCCACCAGTGTCCGATGGAGGTATCGAGTCTCCAACCCCCGGACCGTATGGTCCAAAGCATTCCGTGTGGGCGACTAAGCCACTGCACCACCACCACTCAGAATGATTCACAGCAGGCGAGGTAAACCTCGTGGTCAAGGTATATGAGCGAACGTCAAAGTGAGAATTAGTTCCTTAAGTCTGTTTTCAAAAGTGGAATTATAAGCTCTTGGAAAGGAGATTGGAAGGGTGTTCCACAATTTCGCAGCCCTGGGGAAAAAGAAGACTGGAATATAGAAGTCCGGCATCTGAGGCACAAACCTGATAAGAGTGAATACCCACTTGGGAAGGAAATGGCGAAGAAAATGTCAATGGAATGGGAACCGCTGAATCGAGTTAAAGATAGCAGAGACCAAAATGATAACGACAGAAAAGATATAACGAAGCAATCGGATATCGTCTGCATGTTGACCTGTAAAGGTGGCTCTACATTCATTCTGATACTTTTCCGTTGAACACGGTCGTGGAGAGAAAGATCGTAACATGAATCTCCACCTCACGAGCGGCTTGGGTATCCGACCATCGGACGGATTTCCACTTTGCATCAAAATAAGAGTTGCTCGGGGTAATAAATTGCTTTGTATAGGATTGAAAAGCGGCATTGTGCGTAGCGCAAGAGGCGAGTGTGGAAATAAACGGGATCAATGGAAAGAAAAACGTTGGGAGAAACCCAAGAGCGATAGACTATTCGGTGAAAGAAGGGACAGTGGGTTAAAAATTTATTGAGGAATGCAAGAGACATATAAGAAACGGAGAGAAGAGCTATTTTTTGGTGGAACCTCATGCGATGTCGGAGGCAGGATAAGCACTAATGATGTTGCGATCCTGATTGATCTTGGTATTGTCCTAACGGATTATGAGGTAAGAAGTTGAAGAAATCATCGGCTAAGCAGTGGATAGGATTGTGGGTTTTGGACAAAACGTCTTTGATAAAAAGGAGAAATGTGGGAAAGGGGATTGAACCCCGGGGGGCACCAGTATTCACCGTCGCTGAACGACAGGCTTTCGTGACTATGGGGTCCACCTTGTCTGCTGTTCACCATAATAAGTGTGTCTAAGCAAAATTTCATCCGTGACATCTTGCTTCCTCTTCCATTTGATGCCTCACTTCACTAACACTCGCTTGATCCCTGTCCACGTGTCCTGGTTTCCCAAAATTCCATTTAACTCTGTCCCTTCACTTTCTTCCCTGTTCAGATAGCAAAACTGGATGTCCGCATGAATGAACTCAATGAGAGTCTCCATAACTGTGTGTTACGAAAAGATTTTGAGACTGCTACTGGCCTCCGGGACCAATGCGCTCACTTGGAAGCTGAGCGATCGGCACTGATGCACCAATTGCACGGTGGGCCACAGTGAGTGTCACTCGAATGGTTATTTTATCCCAAGACTGCAAGCTAAACATATTCCTGATCCTCCCTCGAATTTTTAGTAATTCGTACCATCATCTCTTTAAGTACACCTTCTGCTCGTAGTTATCTCGATGTAAGGTGATACACAGAAGCTATCAACACGGAGGCATAACAATGACCAATTCCCGAAATCTCGCAATCAGACACAGGTGTCACTGAGGTCAAACTTTAACTTCACGAGAACGGCGAATCCAACGGTTGAGTGCATAACGCAGCATAGTGTTCACTTAAGAAAAGCCCGATAATAGAGCTTTCGGTTTTCGTGTCGCTATATTTGGGCGAAAAAAATAGAGATGTGTTATTAGGCAGTGTCTGGCATACCCCGAAATTCGACAACGGCCTGAATCGCTTCGTAGGTTTGTTGGTGAATTGCCGTACGCATTCTTCAATTGTTTGTCAACTGCCAGTATTTGTTTTTCTAACCCCCATCGCCCTTTGTCTATAGACCCACTGCACTTTATCTCAGTGTTCCTATTTTCCACAGTGGGGAAGCTTGGACACTGCCTTTTGAACGTGTGGGTGGATGCTGGAATGAAGTCGGCTTTCTCCTTTACTTCTAGGATACGTGAAATTTGGAAAACGAAATGGTAGTGTAACTAGAAGTTCATCGATTCCTACCGCTTTGTGACCGGGATATCCCTCTTTTAGAGAATAATTCTGCGTCACTGAAGATGTCACTTATGAATGTCGATGGAGCTCATGTTTTGCAGATGGAATGTGAATATTGGTTGCAGTATGGTCTGAGTATGCGAAGTTGCAGTCAGTATTACCCATCCAGGTGAAACGGTTGAAAATGTTTTGGCTTAACAGGCTATTTCTGTTTTACTGTATTACCTCTATCGAAAGTTTTTGCCAAATCAAATTGTTGTCGAAATCGATTCCGAGCGCATTCTTCTTTAACATCGCTTGGTCTCAACAGATTTTATCTGTGAGTACTTTTCATACTTCCGGTTTTCTGACTTTTCTAGAAAAAACGATTGCGTGGCACACTCGCCCATGGCTTTTGAGATACAAGCAAACGCAAATCAGTGCTCCGAACCAAATAGCAATCCGAATACGTCGCGGTTGCGTGCTGACCGGGATGAGTTGGACGACGATGTACAAACCGCCGAGGATTGCCCTGCTAATCAAATCAACAGGTGCACTGGCAGCGTGTTGGTTAAAGCAAATTACCTCGCTGCTCTGGTTATCCAACAGTCCGGCACTTTGTGGCGATTGCCGTCATCGCTGCGTTCATTGTTGGACAGTTTAGTAAGATTATTTGGCATAACTTTCTTATCTCACATGCATTGCGTTCCTTTTTTGTACTGAAGTTTAATCTGAGGTTATGCTCGTTCCGTTGTCGTGTACTCTTTCTTCCGGCTTTTCATCTTAACTGTCTTACGTTCTTTTTTTCCTATTTCGTTACCAGGTTGCATATTTACCCAGCTTTACAGTTGCAACAACATACACGTATTGCCAGTGATCAGTGAATTTCGCTTCACTGTATCTCTCGCTGTACGATGTTGATGATGTTGATGTTGCCACATTTACTCATCTGTTCCGAAACGATTCACCATCTTCCATTTTACCTATCAGTCATACTACATCCTACTATGACGAGTTCCTAATTTTCTTTACTTCACATTTATTGATTCTCGAATAATATTCGTTGTTGCCTTCCCGCTACTGAGCCCTACGCTTTAATATGGCAAGTTCGTTTTCATTGAAGTGAAGCATTAAGTGTGCTGATGAACGGTTAGCGTCTGTTGTATATGAGAGCGTTGAAAAAGCGAACTGCAAATCACTTGATAATCGGTTTATGGTTCTAAGATTTGTGTTTTCCGGATCGATTGAATTCTTGCTCAATCAGCTCTAAGGGACTCTCGGTAAAACCGTGAAATAAGATATGTTGCTGTCAGTGGAACAGTACGCCTCCACGTACGTCTCGGGTTTACAACTAAGGAAAATACCATCTTATTAGTTGACCGGTCACGGATGATCAGCAGTTAGTTGACGGTTGGAAAATGGTCTGTTGGTAAAAAGGGGTAATTGAATTCCCTAGAACGTTCCTAATACGATTCTGGCCTTGTGAACCATCATCTTCAGCTAACCGAGCAATGCTTCGTTGAACATCGTTTAAAGTGTAACATGGTACGTGTTAGTACTTGTGACACAGCAGCATGTGACG